TAAGAGATGGAAGGTGTGTTAGACAACCAATCCAGACAGTGGAGAGGGAGAGGTTCTAGATGGGTGCCAGGACCAGTGCCAAGTAAGCCACACTCAGAAGGGAGGCAAGTTCAGCTGAGGGTATCTGGACCTAAGGGCCTCCCATGCCTTCATGTTTTTGTAGAAACTGGCCCTGTTTTCCTTACTTTGTTAGGCAAAGTCCTGGAGAAATGACACTCGGTCCTTGCACTGAGAGGTGATAGAACTGTTTCCATACCTTGCTGGCCCCAAAGAAGGCTTAGTGCATCCCTGGAGGCCTGCATGATGGAGGCAACCAATGCTGGCTTCGGTGCTGGGTCCCAAGGCAGGACCACGAGCCAGGAGGATGGTTAGTCCATACAGCCTGGCTGGTCCCGCCATGACATCCCTCATACTCCAACACCCCATTCCACTTCTCCTCTGCTTCCATTCCATACGAAATGCATGAGGATGTAGTATTCAGAATAAAACACCACCCTAAGTGGTTTGAATCATTTTTCCCATGGTGTCTGAAAAGAGCAAAAAGGTATGGACACACGATACATTTGAGCAACATCAAGGAGGGAAAATGTGCAGACATGTCCGTCTCTTGATGGTCTGATTGTTCTTGCTTCCTCAAGGCTGCCTCCCTTCCACTCCTGTTTAAATCTTTCTTACCGTGAGGTTTCTTCTGGAACCAGATCGACCATACTGTGCATCATAAAAGAATGTGGAAGGAGACTTGGAGGCATCCATGGTCAAGACTCTGCCATATTTCATGTAATTGAGTTTTTTAAGTTAATGTACAAAGTCGTGATTTTGTTATGATATTTTCATGCACGCATGTCATTGTAGTTTATTCATACTTATTCTCACCCTCTGTATTTAAACTATTGAAATTTTACTTATTATGATTTCACACATGAGTGTGGATGCATGCACATCATGGCACACTTGTGGAGGCTGGGGGACAATTACCAGGACTTGGTTCTCCTCTTCTGCTGTGCGTTCTAAGGCGTGAACTTAAGGTCATTAGGATTCACTTGGTGGTAAACACTTTTACCCAGTGAGCATCTCACCAGCCCTTACCTGGCATGTTTTAAAATACAGGGAACTTTGTTAGGCTAGGGTGAAAATGCCTAACAAAATACATGGAGTGATGACAACTTGAATTTTACATTCTGTGAGTACTGTAAAGGTTTATTAACCAGCCAAGCGCATGTGCCGATCTTACCCTTCCTCACTCCAAGACTAGCCAGCATTGGAGAATCCAGGAGGTTGGCTGTATGTGGCACATAATTTGTGTAGAACTTTCCAACTATGAAGAAGCTAGAGCTCAGAGGTGTGGTCGAGGCCATGGAGGTTCCAAGTCCCACCCCCAAGCTCCTGACGTGACACTGTGACATCATGACATCCGACATCTCTTGGTGGAGGTGAGTGGTGTCCTCTATAGAGCTGTCCAGAGACAGGAACACTGCCTCTTCAAGTCAGCTCCCTGGAAGGGAGAACTCTGGAAAGTAAGGGACTAATCTGACTGAGAAGTAATAAGAAATAAGAAAATAAAAATGTGAATGTGTAGATGTACTTTTTCATTTGTGACTGCCATCTCACAAATAACAACACAAAGACTTATTATTTCTTAAGAATGTTCAGCCTTAGCTTAGGCTTGTCCCTAACTAGTTCCTCTAACTTAGATTAACCCATACTTTTAAATCTATGTTCTGGCACGTGGCTTGTTACCTCATCTCCATATTGTCCATCCTGCTTCCTCTGAGTCTGGCTGCCGACTCTGCCTTTCTTCTTCCCAGAGTTCTCTCTCTGCCTGGAAGTCCCGCCTACACTCTCCTGCCTAGCTATTGGCCATTCGACTTTTTATTACACCAATCACAGCAATGCATCTTCACACAGTGTACAACTATCCCACAACATGAACAATTATTTTTCTCTGGGGGAACACATGTAACAAATGACACATTCAGGCCAGCACAGCAGGTGTTAACTGGTCTCTACATGTGCCTGGCCCTGTGCTCACACAGTGCAGATCCCTGGACTCTACTTTCAGACACTAAGGGTGGTTTCTCTAGCTCCCCTGTTGGCACTTGCCAAATTGATGAAGCATCTCCTCAGGGATTTCTGGTTCAGGATGGCTCATTCAGATTGCAGGGCTGAGGCCCAACAGGTCATGTGACTCTCTGGCTTTCTCATGCAAGTGGCATCTGAGCTCATTTTAAGAAGTGGGGACCAACCTCATCATTCAGAGGCCCTTTGTTTCCCCCTCTTCAATGGCTTCCTTACCTCGGGCCATTGAAACCATTGCGGGCATCCAGAGATGGATTAATAAGGTCTGGAAAAATCTAGAGACAGTTACATGTAAAGATGAAAAAGGCCTATTAGAATATTGGGATAAATAAAATCTGCCCTTGGCCTCATTTACGGATACTTAGTGGAAAATCTTAAAGGGTTCAGAAGGAAGTGTTCTTGAGGCCTGGAGGGAAGCAGAAGCTGCCTTTCCTGTTCGACACTTGGGGTTGCAGCTGCTGGGATCCACCCTGGCCCTCAGCTCTGACAGGGCGACAATGTGATGTTAGGGATGTGGGGGGGTTATCACGGGAAAAATGCCAGGAAATCAGGAATTCAAATCACTCTGATTTATGCCCAGCTTGTCAAGTCTCGTGGGCTTTAGAAATGCTGAATATTTGAGCGCTGCTTTCAGATGTGAGCTGGCGCTAGCGTTTCAGCTGATTATTAACAATGGAGTCCCTGATGCTGCTTCAGTGGTGCTCAGCTGGAACCTTTAAAACTCATCCATTCCTGCTTTGTGATGTGCTAGAAAGTCTATGATTTAAGAAAAAAAATATAGAAACATTGACTTTTTTGATCAACGTTTCTGAGACCCTGGGGGATGAAGGCTTAAGCATCCTTTATTTACGTCCACACATCTGAGCTGCTTTCTTATTGAATGTTAGAAATGCACATCAAGTCTGTACTAACGAAAAATTTTTTACTGAAGAAGAGACAATGCCAGCACGCTCATCAACCGCCCGCATCGTGGCTGCTTATTATGTATTTAAGAATGTTCGGTGCCGAGCAGAAAACCTGGTCCCTCCTGCGCACACGGTTACTGTAAATGCTTCAATCAATCCCTTTTATGCAGCATGGAGCACAGGAAGCACAATGTGCAGTGACTAAATGTGCCATTTAAATTCTCCTCAGGCAGAGAGGTCAAGAGAGAGGTGGGGGGGAGAGTGGCAAGGGCAGAGATGGCCGAGGTACTGCATTCAAATGTTTTTGATAGGTTTCTAAGATACACGCCTTTCTCCGGAGCAAATGCATTCATGTCCCAGGAAGGAAGCCGACAGGGAAAATGCTAGCTGGTGAGCTCATGAGAAATGCCAAAGGAGTTGTTTGTGCCGAGCTTCAAATATCAGGGTTTCTTTATTGTGGAGCGTTGAGGCTCAGCATCAGACAGAGCGTTTCCATGACAACTAATAGATGTTATGTTTATTTACTGAGTGGTGGGCCAATGGCAGTGTCAGGGACTGACAGTTTGGTTTTTTTCTCCTCTTTCTCTCCTCGGTAAAGATTTGTTTCAGTGGATGAAAATGCCACCGTCTTCCGTTTTATTCATCCAGAGCTTCTATGGTGAAAGTAAATAGCAATTTAAGCCGATGCAGTTATTCCATGAAACATACTTAATGTCCCATCACTTTAGGGGCCTTAGAGAATCTTTACAGTGGGCAGTTGCTGGCAAGAAGATGATTCACAAAGCGAACAGCAAATTTGGGGTTTTATTTACTAGAAAATGATCTAACAACTCTAAATTTACACAGATCTCACTAATGTCCTCTAAATTCCACATGACCTTTTCTATACTTCTACTGATACATTCATAAAAAGGGTCAATTAAGACTCCTAACAGGACCATAGTCTCAGCAGGGATGGGAGATGGGCTGCAGGGCAGGCTAGAACAATTGGCCCTGGTTATAAATAATGCTATATTCCACCATGTTATCTGCCTGTGGCTTAGTCTGCCCTCTAAATATTTGCAGTCAATTTTTAATGCTGAACTGGCTTCCTCCTACTATCCAGCTGGTGTGTGCTCAGGGGATAAAACCAATGTTAGCATTTGCTTTGAGAAAACACAATTAGGAAGGCAAGCTGCTGTTGGGGTGGGATATGGATACTCACATGACATGTGCTAAGGCACAGAATTGCCTTTTTTCCTTAGTCCCCTTTCATAGTGCCTGAGTTGTGGCTCTGAGTAATGTGAACAGCTGAAATTTGAGATACTTTTGGCTTTTGAGATAAGGGAACAAAGTTAATTGGTGGCTATTTGGAGGCACTCACATTATCGTTGCCTGAAAACATGCTTCTCCATCTCTTATGGTCTCAGGTAGACATTTGTTTCTCTTGAAACGCTCCTGTCACTCCCCAGAACGTCTCTGCGGCAAGTCTGTTTCTTACATACTACACAAGCAGCTTGAAGGCTGGACTGTGTCTGGCTCATCTTTGTGTCTGCAGCACCCAACCTGTTTCCAGCACAGCAGGCATTGGGGGAGTGGGTAATGTACGGGTGAACTGTCTCAAGCCAGCTCCCGAGTCTCACTCTTGGTGGGAAGCAATGTTTAGTTCTGTGAATGGAACATCTAAATGGCTGACTGCTTAGGAACGAGAGACAGCATTCCTCAATGAGATGTTCTTCTGTTATGTAGGGTACATGTCCCGGGTGAAAGTCCTAGAAAAATAGCTCCTTTGATAATTGAAAATCTTGCTGAGGGAATTCTCTGGACTTCCTGGATCTGAACTGGTGGTTCCTTCCCTGGAGGGGCCCAAGCTGAGATTATGGAAACTCTGGGTTTTATTTCATCAAATCTTGCTCAGTAGGATTTTGCTTTAAAAACTTGTGTTTTACCAACACAATAGTCCCCCAGAAAAGGAGGAGACCTAGCCAAGCTTGTAGCGCTTCTTTGTGGGTAGTCTTCACTCACTGTAATCACTAGCAGAATTCTGATTACCAGCCCGGCACCCCTAAATATAGGCCAGCTTAGGTTTGGAAACTAAATGACCTCAGCAGCATTTTCAGTGTTCATTTGGAAACCTTTCAAGCAGAAGCCCTGGGATCTTGCAGAGTACAGATCCTAGAACAGGAGGAGAAGGATAAGAATATGCTTATCTTCTGATACAGTAAGTTTTCTTCTCTCTACTTCAGGTACTGTTACTAAATTTGTGATCACCAGCGACAAGAACTAATGACTGCCTGTGAGATCTGAACACGTGGGATTCGTCTGGGAAAGGAGGGGAGGAGGGTAGAGCTTATTGACCGTCTACTGTAGGCCACAATTTATGCCAAAGGTTTTGTATCTGCTCTAGGACATTCCAGGATAAGGAACCCCTTTATACACACAAAACCCTAAAGCTCATCACGACACAGGACCAGAGCCCAAATTCTGAAGCTTAGACTATCCAAGTGTATGAATACATATGTCCAAGTGTATGATACATATCAGAATGTTCTACCGAGCAGACAGAATGCACTCCTCAAGGGAATGAACACTGTGGAGAATTAATCAGGTCAGAGAAGCAATGAGACCCAAGGAATGAGCATCACTGGCTTGGGTAGTCAGGCAGAATCACAGGCTTCGGGCTTCAGTTATTATCTGAAAAGCTGGTGGGCTCTAGAGGCGCAGATGCAGTCATGGTTAAAGAGAACTCCTGTGTGACCTCAAATGCTTTGAGGATCTGTGGCCACAGGGCAACCTGAGAAATAGCTCAGAGGGATTGTTACCTTTCCTGGCTGGTTTTATGTCAACTTGACACAAGCTAGAGCCACCTGAGAAGAGGGAACCTCATTTGAGAAAATGCCTCTGTGAGATCCAGCTGTAAGCAAGCCTGTAGAGCATTTAGTTAGAGATTGATCTGGGAGGGCCCAGCCCATTGTGGGTGAGACCATGTTGGGCCAGTGGTCCTGGGTTCTACAAGAAAGCAGGCTGAGCAAGGCATGAGGAGCAAGTCAGTAAAGCAGCATCCCTCCGTGGCCTCTGCATCAGCTCCTGCCTCCAGGTTCCTGCCCAGTTTGAGTTCCTGCCTTGCTTCCCTCAATGGACTGTGATTTGGGATCTGTAAGGCAAATTAACTCTTTCCTCTCCAGTTTTTTTTTTCAGTCATCACAGCAATAATATCCCTAAGTAAGACACGACCCCAGGCTCCAAAGCTTCAGGTGGGGTAAGTCAAACTGTAGACATTCTTGAGCTCCTTGCTGTCACCTTGTCCTCTCAATGGGCTATTTCAGTCCGATTTCAAGGTCCGGCCTTTACAGTAACCCCAACAGTAAAGCTGTTATATTGTGAAGAGGAAAGTATGGGAGCTCAGTTGGAAAGCAGACAACGAGATGGCTGTAAAGAAAGTTGTAGCAATAATGCATTCTTCTCTCTGCTTTCTTGCACTAACTGCCTCTTACATTATGCCAAATGGTCCCTAACCATGGCTGGCCCTCCACTTAACAGAGCCGGGGTCTGGTAAATGCTATGATGTTCTCTCCCTCTTTGGTAATAATGTTGGTTTTATGTCCCCCTACGACAATGTCAACAGGTTCTGGCTGAGTCTAATTGCTGGCCCCGGGAAAGCACCTGTTCATTTTACTTTTATGGTGCTTGTGGGCATTCTTCTGTGGCATTCTTCCAGCCAGGAGAGTACTATTGGAGCAGAGACATATCGGAGCATTATGTCATTTGGAACCTAAGCTTTAGGTCAAAGAATAGAGTGCTTTCAAAATGTGGGAGCTGGCTCACTTCTAACAGACCCCATCACTTTTTCATTAGGTGTGTCTGCAAACATTAATTGGCCCTGGAGCACCGGTTTTTCTTTTTAGAGATGAGCATGTAACATTCCCTCATGCAGACTGAAAGCTTGGAAAATGATTAGAGTCATGTGACTTTAGAAGTGGAGGGGACATTTTACAGACGGTTTCATGGGATTTTGAACTGTGCCTCACAGACCCAGATGCGCTGCTCCGGGGCATGCTGGGATCCAGCTCCTTGGATGATGCAGGAAGTGGTTCCTTTGGTATTTCATTTGAGAAACGGCTGCACAGCGATCAGTAACCTCATGCTGTCCCTCTGTTCCGGATGATGGGGGAAACGAGGTCTAGAGATGATCTATAATCCTCGAGGTGGAATCCAGTAGCCAACTTGGGAGAAGGCCTGCTCCGCTCACTCTGCACAGTGCAGCTTGGGGAGGGCGCAGGAGCATACCACGGTCATGATTAAGTTCTGGTTTTTGAGAGTTCGGGAACATTTTCCACACCTCACCCCCTTCAGTTACAAGTTCTCTATGTCGGTTGATACCCACAGTTTGAGAGACTCTGGTTTCCTGACTCTTCCACGTTTAAACTGAAGACAGCCGAGAGTTAAGAAATGAATTCCAACCACATCTCAACCACAGCACAAGTCTCCTGAGGACGATGCATCCATGCTGCAGAAGCTGAGACCCACGATCTCAGATTTCTTCCACTCCACTTTTCTGATTGGGTGCTCTTGACCTTCCAGTAGCTTCAGCTCCACTAATAAACACCCTGCTACTGAAGATGATATCAAAGCAGAATTGGTTTTGCTGGATTCTAGCCATGTAGTTCCATAAGTTGGTTCCTCTGAGAGGGTGGACATAAAGAGGAACAGGCAGGTGGTGAAGAAATTGCCACAGGAAGCCAGAAGGAGAAAACGAACGTTAAATAGTCACCTAACACATGGAAGGTAGACTTGAATATATCTATCTACTTATCCCGCCACATAGGGAAGATGGTATAAATTAATTCTCATGGGCTCTACATAATAATAGAACAAGAGGAGAGCTCAGAAAACTGCTGTCCGGATGACCAAGAAAAAAAAAAAACAAACCAAAACCAAAAACAAACAAGCATCCAATGAGCCACACTGTCTTCATTCTAAGGATTCTAGAAGTCTCTGTTGGGCATAGTCTCTTGTCAGAAAGAAGAGAGCATGGCAAGTCACACACTGGTGACAATGATCTGTCTGGAAGTGGGACACATGGCATGTCATTTCTGTGTACAGTCTGTGGCCAAGCCTCAAGTCAAGGGGTGAGATGAGTCAGCCCTTTGGGGAAAGGACAACAGATTCTCTGACGGATAATACTTAAACGGCTTAACTAGTTCAATGTTTTATACTCTTTTGTAAAGGACTGAAACTGTTATGAACTTAATTTGGTGGTAGGCAGGTGCCGTAGAGTATTCCTGTAATCCTAGGTACTATAACCCTAGGCTGAGGCAGGAGGGTTGCAAATTTGAGGCAACCCTGTCTCAAAGTAAAATGATAGAATAAATTAAAACAAGTGGCCAAGGATATAGCTTAGTGGTCCTGGGTTCAGTCTCTAGTACCAGAAAGAACTGAATGTGATGCTTCTTTTGGTGTGAGAATTTTTACACACCGTTCACCTCCAGTTCTTCTATTCTTACCTCCATAGGGAGCGGGTGGTAGGGCTGGGTCTGAGACCCTACTACCAGCAGAAATGAATAGAGACAAGGTCTCTAAGGAAAGTTCTAGAAGGTAATAAAAGTAAGTCTGAAACGGGCGGCTTGGCAGCACATATTTTGGGTCACATTATAATTTAAGCATTATCTTATTCAACAGAAACCTCTCACGAAAGGAGGCGCTTCCTTGGCTTTCCATGTTGAGAGAGCGGCTGCCTGCTGGCATGGCAGCGGCCCTTCCCAGCAGCTGGTTCAAGGGGCCATATGCCATCAGAGCTAGGGTTTGGGCTTCAGACACTCACATCTACCTGTCTCTGCCAGCCGCCTACCTTCTGTACAGGCTCTGCCCAGGGGTCAGGGATGCAGCTTTCCAAATCTGAAATCACCTCATTTTCCCAGGGCACAGCTGCTCACTGAAAGGTGTGAGAACAGAAGGAAAATGCCCATTCTCCAATCCAATCCCCATTGTGCTTCTGGCTCTTGGCTTTGTGGGCACAACCTACTGGGCCAAACGGAAACAGGGCTCAGACGCATCCATTATGTCCTCACAGGCCCTTGGTGGAGACAAGCACATTTATAAAGCGCCACGCCACCTCCTTGCGCTGCCCCTGTGCTTCGTTTTCTGAGTGGCATGCTGAACACATGGGTAGCAGTGGTTGTCCCTGTGTACATTCATTTCTGGGATGGGAAAGAGCAAATTGTTCTCGGATGATAAGGAATCATGCTCTCCTACATCTCGGAAGTGTGCTTTACTGTCCCCTGGCTTGGGAGCCAGCTGTCACTGCTGGCTCTGTGCTGTGTTTTGTCTTCAGTGTGGGTCTTCCACTCCCTGCCCTTCCCACTTCCCTTCTCCTGCTCTGTTTAGGGAGTTGTTTGCTTCTGTGTATTATTCAGTAAGGAATTCACACGGCTTGCATTTCAAAAGCTGCTGAGCAGCATGCAGGACCAAAGGCAAGGCAGGCCCTAGGTTGATATGGGAGGGACTGACCTCTCCAGAAGGCTGCAGTGAACTTTCCTGTCCCCCACCGCCTCTTCTGGATGTCTCCCAGATGAATACAGACCGAAAATATAATATTGTGCTTTATCATTTTGTCTTCTGTCTTTGTCCCCGAAGAGGCAAATTGCAGAGTCTTTCTGATTTGGGGATGCAGCAGAAGCTGACAAATTAGAGTGCTCAAGCAGTCTAATTCCTTGATAGGAACCCCAGTATCAGAAACGGAGACAGAATTCCTGTCTCCAGCACACAGACCCACACCTTCCACTCCTTTTCATATCAAATGAAAATCATCTTGCCTCCAGTGAATGTCTTAGAAGGAAATTCTAAAACACTGTCTGCAATTATGGTACTTTTTTTTTGGGGGGGGGCATAACTTTGGGGCTAATCATGAGAGTAAAGAGACCTAGAATGGTGTAAATGAAGTTCAACGATGAAATGGGTGCATCCTGATGTTTTGCATAATTCTTTTCAGGCCTGGGACCACAAGAATCCACGTGCACCATGTTACCTAGTCAAAGGAGCTTTGATGGAGAAGGCAAATGGAGAGGCCCTTTCTAAGTTTCCTCTTCCCTCAGTCACTGCTCTCTCTATTCAGATGTCTATGGTCTGGCCTTCTCAGCGCTCGAAGTTTATCTTTGGATGCAGGACAAGCAAACACCGAGCTTTTTTTTTATTCCGTTAGCAGGCAGAATAACAGCAAAAAGA